TTCCACGAGACACCTCACGAAACATTCACGAGACACCCCGCGAAACATTCCACGAGACACCCCACGAAACATTCCACGACGACAGGCAACCACTCAACCAAGGCGGTGTGGTCGTGCTGGGGAGTGGTCGTGCTGGGGTGTGGTCGTGCTGGGGGGTGGTCGTGCTGGGGGGGGTCGTGCTGGGGGGGTGGTCGTGCTGGGGGGTGGTCGTGCTGGGGCGTGGTCGTGCTGGGGCGTGGTCGTGCTGGGGCGTGGTCGTGCTGGGGCGTGGTCGTGCTGGGGCGTGGTCGTGCTGGGGTGTGGTCGTGCTGTGGTAAGGTCGTGCTGGGGTGTGGTCGTGCTGGGGTGTGGTCTTGCTGGGGTGGGGTCGTGCTGGGGTGTGGTCATGCTGGGGTGGGGTCGTGCTGGGGTGTGGTCGTGCTGGGGTGTGGTCGTGCTAGGGTGGGGTCGTGCTGGGGAGTGGTCGTGCTGGGGTGTGGTCGTGCGAGACACCTCACGAAACATTCCACGAGACACCTCACGAAACATTCACGAGACACCCCGTGAAACATTCCACGAGACACCCCACGAACAGGCAACCACTCAACCAGACACCCACGAAACATTCCACGGGGGTGCGACTGGGTGTGGTCGTGCTGGGGTGTGGTCGTGCTGGGGTGTGGTCGTGCTGGGGAGTGGTCGTGCTGGGGTGTGGTCGTGCTGGGGGGTGGTCGTGCTGGGGGGTGGTCGTGCTGGGGGGTGGTCGTGCTGGGGGGTGGTCGTGCTGGGGCGTGGTCGTGCTGGGGCGTGGTCGTGCTGGGGCGTGGTCGTGCTGGGGTGTGGTCGTGCTGTGGTGAGGTCGTGCTGGGGTGTGGTCGTGCTGGGGTGTGGTCTTGCTGGGGTAGGGGTGTGGTCGTGCTGGGGTGTGGTCGTGCTGGGGTGGGGTGGGGTCGTGCTGGGGTGGGGTCGTGCTGGGGTGTGGTCGTGCTGGGGGTATGGTCGTATGGCTAGGGTGGGGTCGTGCATTTCGCTCGAGACATCCTGCCAAAATTCCAGGAAATCGTACAAAAACAAAGGAAGTAGTCGAGACATCATCGAAATTCCTTCGCGCGGGGCGCTTTTCCGCGTCGCGGTCGGCTCTGCAAAACAAGCGTTTCGCTCGAGACATCCTCGGCAAACTCTGCGGAGCAAGCGTTTCGCTCGAGACATCCTCAACACACGAAAAAGTGGCCCGCACCCTGTGATTTATCGATCGGGATTTCAAAAACAAGCGTTTCGCTCGAGACATCCTCAAATTTTAATTCGCCGGCCTCCTTCGACCTCGTTATTTATCAGGGAAAAAATTCGCCGGCCTCCCTCAAGTTGGCACCGGGGGACAGGTTTACCTACTAAAAGAGAACCCTGGGCCCCCGCCCTTTCCGGGAACATGATGGACCCACGAACCCGGAAAGGGATATAGACATGTGCAGCATGGTCACGTTTTCACGATATCCAACTGGGCGACACCTCACGAAACATCCCACGAGACACCCCGCGAAACATCCCAGGAGACACCTCACGAAACAACCCACGAGACACCTCACGAAACATTCCACGAGACACCCCGTGAAACATTCCACGAGACACCCCACGAACAGGCAACCACTCAACCAGACACCCCACGAAACATTCCACGGGGGTGCGACTGGGTGTGGTCGTGCTGGGGTGTGGTCGTGCTGGGGTGTGGTCGTGCTGGGGAGTGGTCGTGCTGGGGTGTGGTCGTGCTGGGGGGTGGTCGTGCTGGGGGGTGGTCGTGCTGGGGGGTGGTCGTGCTGGGGCGTGGTCGTGCTGGGGCGTGGTCGTGCTGGGGCGTGGTCGTGCTGGGGTGTGGTCGTGCTGTGGTGAGGTCGTGCTGGGGTGTGGTCGTGCTGGGGTGTGGTCTTGCTGGGGTAGGGTCGTGCTGGGGTCGGGTCGTGCTGGGGTGTGGTCGTGCTGGGGTGTGGTCGTGCTGTGGTGGGGTCGTGCTGGGGTGGGGTCGTGCTGGGGTGTGGTCGTGCTGGGGTGTGGTCGTGCTGGGGTGTGGTCGTGCTAGGGTGGGGTAGTGCTGGGGTGGGGTCGTGCTGGGGTGTGGTCGTGCTGGGGTGTGGTCGTGCTGGGGTGTGGTCGTGCTGGGGCGTGGTCGTGCTGGGGTGGGGTCGTGCTGGGGTGGGGTCGTGCTGGGGTGTGGTCGTGCTGGGGTGGTCCGCACCCTGTGATTTATCGATCGGGTCGTGCTGGGGTGTGGTCGTGCTGGGGTGTGGTCGTGCTGGGGAGTGGTCGTGCTGGGGTGTGGTCGTGCTGGGGGGTGGTCGTGCTGGGGGGTGTCGTGCTGGGGTGGTGGTCGTGCTGGGGGGTGGTCGTGCTGGGGCGTGGTCGTGCTGGGGCGTGGTCGTGCTGGGGCGTGGTCGTGCTGGGGCGTGGTCGTGCTGGGGCGTGGTCGTGCTGGGGTGTGGTCGTGCTGTGGTAGGTCGTGCTGGGGTGGGTCGTGCTGGGGTGTGGTCTTGCTGGGGTGGGGTCGTGCTGTGGTCGTGCGGGTCGTGCTGGGGTGTGGTCGTGCTGGGGGGGTCGTGCTGGGGGTGCTGGGGTCTGGTCGCTGGGGTGTGGTCGTGCTGGGGTATGGTCGTGCTAGGGTGGGGTCGTGCATTTCGCTCGAGACATCCTGCCAAAATTCCAGGAAATCGTACAAAAACAAAGGAATTAGTCGAGACATCATCGAAATTCCTTCGCGCGGGGCGCTTTTCCGCGTCGCGGTCGGCTCTGCAAAACAAGCGTTTCGCTCGAGACATCCTCGGCAAACTCTGCGGAGCAAGCGTTTCGCTCGAGACATCCTCAACACACGAAAAAGTGGCCCGCACCCTGTGATTTATCGATCGGGATTTCAAAAACAAGCGTTTCGCTCGAGACATCCTCAAATTTTAATTCGCCGGCCTCCTTCGACCTCGTTATTTATCAGGGAAAAAATTCGCCGGCCTCCCTCAAGTTGGCACCGGGGGACAGGTTTACCTACTAAAAGAGAACCCTGGGCCCCCGCCCTTTCCGGGAACAAACGCCCTTAACCCGCGAAAATGCATTTTCGACCCCCCCCCCCAAAACATGATGGACCCACGAACCCGGAAAGGGATATAGACATGTGGAGCATGGGCACGTTTTCACGATACCCAACGGGGCAACACCTCACGAAACATCCCACGAGACACCTCACGAAACATCCCACGAGACACCTCACGAAACATTCCGCGAGACACCTCACGAAACATTCCAGGAGACACCCCGCGAAACATTCCACGAGACACCCCACGAAACATTCCACGACGACAGGCAACCACTCAACCAAGGCGGTGTGGTCGTGCTGGGGAGTGGTCGTGCTGGGGTGTGGTCGTGCTGGGGGGTGGTCGTGCTGGGGCGTGGTCGTGCTGGGGGGGTGGTCGTGCTGGGGGGTGGTTGTGCTGGGGCGTGGTCGTGCTGGGGCGTGGTCGTGCTGGGGCGTGGTCGTGCTGGGGTGTGGTCGTGCTGTGGTGAGGTCGTGCTGGGGTGTGGTCGTGCTGGGGTGTGGTCTTGCTAGGGTGGGGTCGTGCTGGGGTGGGGTCGTGCTGGGGTGGGGTCGTGCTGGGGTGTGGTCGTGCTGGGGTGTGGTCGTGCTGGGGTGTGGTGCTGGGGTGTGGTCGTGCTGGGGAGTGGTCGTGCTGGGGTGTGGTCGTGCTGGGGCGTGGTCGTGCTGGGGGGTGGTCGTGCTGGGGGTGTGGTCGTGCTGGGAGGTGGTCGTGCTGGGGCGTGGTCGTGCTGGGGCGTGGTCGTGCTGGGGCGTGGTCGTGCTGGGGTGTGGTCGTGCTGTGGTGAGGTCGTGCTGGGGTGTGGTCGTGCTGGGGTGTGGTCTTGCTGGGGTAGGGTCGTGCTGGGGTCGGGTCGTGCTGGGGTGTGGTCGTGCTGGGGTATGGTCGTGCTGGGGTGGGGTCGTGCTGGGGTGGGGTCGTGCTGGGGTCTGGTCGTGCTGGGGTGTGGTCGTGCTGGGGTATGGTCGTGCTAGGGTGGGGTCGTGCATTTCGCTCGAGACATCCTGCCAAAATTCCAGGAAATCGTACAAAAACAAACGAATTAGTCGAGACATCATCGAAATTCCTTCGCGCGGGGCGCTTTTCCGCGTCGCGGTCGGCTCTGCAAAACAAGCGTTTCGCTCGAGACATCCTCGGCAAACTCTGCGGAGCAAGCGTTTCGCTCGAGACATCCTCAACACACGAAAAAGTGGCCCGCACCCTGTGATTTATCGATCGGGATTTCAAAAACAAGCGTTTCGCTCGAGACATCCTCAAATTTTAATTCGCCGGCCTCCTTCGACCTCGTTATTTATCAGGGAAAAAATTCGCCGGCCTCCCTCAAGTTGGCACCGGGGGACAGGTTTACCTACTAAAAGAGAACCCTGGGCCCCCGCCCTTTCCGGGAAAAAAAAAAACACCCTTGACCGCCGAATATCGATTTTCGAACCGCCCTAGATCATCGTCACCATCATCATGCTCATCATTGCATCATCACTATCACCATCACCATCATCATCGCCATCTTGCATGACCATTCCGATGGTCCGCATCGCCATCATCACTGCGACGGCCACCATCATCACCATCACGATGACAATCACCACGGGGGGGGACTCAACTAACTCAACTAAAACTCGCCCTAAAGACAGCCAGCAGCACCCTCGGACGTCGGCCCCGTCGCCCAGCTCGTCCTCCTCCTCGGGCTCCATGGACTGCCGGCCATAATGGTCGGGAAAGGCCATCTCCGTGCCCCCATGCCACTTGGCCCCCGTTCACCGTCGGTTGATGCCGCGAGTCTTTGGTCTGGGGCCTTGCGACGCCATGGCCCAGCGCCGCCATTATCGCCTCCTGCTGGTGCACCGCTCCGAGGATGTGGCCCTGCAAGTGGTCGATGAGCGGTCGATGCCTATCGGCGCGTGCTAGGACGCATTCGCGCGCAGAACCATCGTCGCGCCCAGTGTCCGGGAGAAGCTAGACCTGGTTGGCGACGCTCGCGCGTCGCTGGTTGCCGATCAGCGCCTGGTGAACCAACGATATATGCTTCTGCAAGGACAGCATGCCGTCGGCACCGGTCGCGCCCGGCACCCGCTGAGGAGACTTGCGGTCGCCTGGGGCGCCTGGCGAGCCGCTTCCCTGGCCGCCCAGCGCGCAGTTTCCTCCGCGGCACTGCCCGACTCGCAGGTTCCGCTTGGTCCCATCTTGGCCCGAGAGAGAGGATCCCAGCTCGGCCGAGCCCTGCGCTCGGGACTCGCGCAGAAGATGCCTGAGCCGCGCCGGTTGCCATGCGGGGCGCGTTGGCGGCATCTCCTCGGGGGTTGGTGCCAGCGGCGTCGCCGCCACCTCCGCGAGGCCTGCCGTGGCCGCCTGCCCCTCGGCCGACCTCGGCGCCGCAGGGCCCGCCTCTGCCACTTCCTCTCGGGCCGCCAGCTCGAGCCCCACCGCTGCCAGCGCCGCCGGCGTACCCGTCGCCAACGCCGTCGGAAATAATTTAATGGCTCCAGAAATGCGCGCACGGGGAAGGCGAACGCCGCTAGCTGAAGCGGCGCCCTGCTGCGCTTGATCCGCGATGATCTACGGAACCGCCCTTTTCATCGGTTGCAGAATCGCTGGCAACTGGGGCCCCCGGGGCCTCCTGAGTCCTAAACTGAACGTCTTGGTCTCCGTCGTTTCTGGGCCGGCTGGCATCTCGACGCCCCGGGCCCCCCCGAGACCTCTCTCCCCCATCCGAGCCCGCCGATGTCGCGGAAGCGTTCGCCATAGCTTGGCGACCGTCTGATCGGTCAGGGTTCCCCGAGGCGCCCGCGCCCCCGCGCGCCGAGCCCCCGCGTAGCCCGCGTGGCTTTAGATACTGTTATCTGGGCGCCACGCTGTCCCGCGGAAGTGCGACCAGGGCCCCGTGGTGTCCCCGGGGCGGCCCTCGGCGCGCGCGGACCAGAGCTCGTCGCCGCGCGAAGGCCTTTGCGAGAACCCGAAACGCGACCAACCCGCGACGCTTCTGAAACTCGGGGCCCGCGCCGTAGGTCGCGGGAGAGGCGAAGAGTATAAGGGGCGCTTATCGACGCCATCTGGGCGACCCCCTTCTCGCCCATCTTCGGCGCAGTGCTCGAGCTCGCCTGAGACGACGAGAATGGCGCTGCAAGGGCGACTCCGGGGCGCGGGGCCCGCCGCGGGCTGGGCCCATCACCCGGGCCAGCCCGCGCCCCGAGGGAGGCGGATTCAGCGCTGATCATGGCGCCCTGGGGAAGGCCGATAACGCCCTCCCCGCGCAACCCGCGAACGCGTGGCCCTGGCCCAGCCGGCCTGCCGCGCCTGTCGCCTCGCCGCCCTTTGTTTCCTCCAGCAGCTCTCGGCGCGGTGGCCCTTGTCACGGCAGTGCGTGCGCTCGACCACCTTCGCCATCTAATCCGCAAAGGGCCACCGCGGCGCGCCGCGGGGGGCGTCGATCACGGGCGCGATCTCGACGGCGACGGTCGCGAACGGGACGGCCGCCATCGCGACGCTGCCTTTCCGGAAACGAGGGCCGACCTCGACTCGCCTGGTCCTTGGACTTGGGGCCGAGAAACTGTCGGCCCTTCAGGCGGCGCGCTTGCGGTCTTCATTCGCGCCCCAGGACCTCCTCCCGGTGGTCTTTCCACCCGCCGGGAACGCCCCCAGCTGTCCTTCGCGCAGGCCACCCTCGCCCATCTCAGCCAGGCGCGCCGGCTCGGCCACTAGAAAAGAGAGAGAAAGAGAAAGAGAGGGAGAGAGAGAGAGAGAGAGAGACATAACAGAGAGAGAGAGAGAGAAAGAGAGAGATATATATATAGAGAGAGAGAGAGAAGAATAATCGTTCTCGCCATCGTCGTTGTAGTCGTCCTGACCGGCAATTAGCATTCTGGCCTCGCCTGCCGACTGCATGTGGCCGGGCGCTTCGGGCCCGCCCTCCGACCCGACAGGCAGGGCCGCGGGGGGACCTGGCGCCGCATCTGGAAGCAGCCGCTCAGAACCCGTGGGGCCCATCTGCTTCAGAGCCCACGCGACGTGTGCGAAGTCGACGTTGCCCCTGGTGCGCGCGCGGAGGTTCTGGAGGCCTTGCTTGGAGAGTCCTCCTCCTTCTTCCAGGAGGAGCCCCTTTCATCTGTCGCTCATCCCCAGGCCGTGGCATTCAACCCGCCGGCCGAGTCTCCGCACTTCATCTCCCTGTCGCTTGCCCACAATCATGTCCATGCGCGACACGATGGCCTCCAACCAGCCTCTGCCGGACAGAATGGTTTCGCTGACGTCGTCGAACTTGACCTGCATTATCCAATCGAACTGTTTCGGTAGTGAATTTCTCGGCCCTTCGCCAGATCACGACGTCAGCGTTATGGCCCCAGCGCTGAACATCTCGCTTCCACTGGCGATAGTGGCTTCAGCCGGGCCACGCTGGGAGGTCGGTGTAGACGCCTTGGCCCAAACCTCCAGCGGTCCAATTGCCAATATTTTTCCCTGGGCCCCCAATCGCCGTCATCAGCATGCAGGACCACCCCTCCCTCCAGTCGCTGGTGTGCCACGCCTGTGTTCCTCGGACCCGTCCCCGGTCTGGCCAACATGGCGCTGCCTCCAGGGGTCCATCTCCTCCCGAGGATCTGCGTGTACCCCGGCGGCCTGCGGAGACGCTGACGAAGGAGGGACCGTCACTCTCCCGCTCGTGGTCGCGGCGACAACCTTTTCTAGAACCGCTCGAAGTCCCTCGGGCTGCTCGGCCGTGATGGGAAAACCTGACGCATTGCTGCTGGTGCCGCGGGCTGCCGCGACCGCGGGCTTGTCGGAGGGCGGGGCCATGCCTGATAAGATGTCCGCGCCACCGTCCGATGTCCCTTCGTCATTGCTGCTATCATCGTCGGGATTGCCTTCGGCCGGCATTGCCGTAGATCGCCCGCTCACTCAGGGTACGGCATCCTGTGTGCTCAGAGCCATCGAGGTCACGACACGGCACCGCCTATCAGCACCATTATGGCGACTACTCCGACCCGGAGCCTCACCACGAGTCTCCGCGACCAACTGTGGCAGCAAGACCGATAGCATTGAGGCTTCCCCATCTTGAGCCACAATAGTAATGCATTTCCCCTGTAGTGCATATTGCTTCCGTTGCAACACGAAAAAGCCAAATCTATGAAATAAATTATCCCAGTGCGACCCTACCTAGGAGTTGGAACCCCTAGGAAAGCAGCATTAGTAGTAACAGCAACGCTAAGCTAAAGCTAAGTGAAAGTTAAGATAAAGCTAAGTTAAAGCTAAGCTAAAGCTAAACGAAAGCTAAGCTAAAGCTAAGCTAAAGCTGAGCAGCAGCTAAGCTAAAGCTAAGCTACAGCTAAGCTAAAGCTAAGCTAAAGCTAAGCTAAAGCTCAGCTAAGGCTAAGCTAAAGCTAAACTACAGCTAAGCTAACGCTGAGCTAACGCTAGGCTAAACGCTAAGCGAACAGCTAAGCGAAATGCTAAGCTAAAGCTAAGATACAGCTAAGCTACAGCTAAGCTAAAGCTAAGCTAAAGCTAAGCTAAAGCTAAGCTAAAGCTAAGCTAAAGCTAAAGCTAAAACTAAAGCTAAAGCTCCCAGGGGACTGGGGGGAACCGCGGGGCGGGGACTGGGGGAACCGCCCGTGGCGCTTAGCACTGCCCGGCCCCTTTCAGCTAAGAGAGTACGAACCCTTCTAGGCAGAGCCTAGGCAGGGAAAGAAAGAGAGACAAAACAAACAAACAAAAGCCTTAACCACACGAAACGAGTTGGGTTTCCACACGTCCCCGTGATCCTCCTCTGCCACGCCCGGGTCCAGGGCCTTGAGCTCCCCCAGCTTCTGCAGAGCCACGGGGTTCCCTGCCGCGCGGGCTCGCGCCAACATCCCCCCTCGCCTAACCTCGCCCGCCCACCCCATCCAGGTCCCTCCCCTCCCCTCGCCATCGCTCCGGCGTCCATCCCCCGTGCATTTTTCGATGCTGTGCGTGTATGTCTCGTCAGGTGATCAAATCTGCTCCTCGGTCGTCCTCGCTGCAAAACAATGCACGAGTCCATTCGATGCCTCATGCGCCCGTCTCCACTCACTCTCGCCCCCTCCTCCCTAAATCACCTCTCCATCCCTTAAAGCTCCTGCCCTCCCTCCCCACTCGCCCTCTCTCCCCGCTCCCTCCTTCCCCCCCCCCCTTGTGATAGGCCCTCCCTCCCTCCCGCCCCAGAGTTCCCCTTGCCACGGCGTTCTCCTTCTGCGGATCTCCCTCCATTGATCCATCCGTCAAGTGCTCCCACCCTCCTCCTGCTCGCTCCCCCCCTCACCGCTCCCGACCACCCCAGCCGAACAGCGTGCATCAGAGGAGACTAGTGCGCCTACGTCTCACAAAGATTCTCTCGGATAGGGCAGTGGCCACAAGCCAGTCCCATGGCTTCTCCCAAGAGGGCAGGAGGGAGATAAGGAGAAGAGGGGCACCTGAGCAGCAGCAGTAGCAGCAGTAGGAGCATAGTGAGCACCAGCAGCACGAGCAGGATGACGAGGCGGCGAGAGAAGGCGAAAGATGGAGATCAAAGACCAGGAAGGGGAGGAGGCGTGAGAGGACCAGATAGACCACGACCACGACCACGACCGCGACGACGACCAAGACGACGACGACGACGACACCGACAAAGACCGGCAATTAATACCATGACGACGGCTTCGACGACAACGAACACGACGACGACCAAGACGGGCAACGACCATGACGACGGCCGCGACGACACCGACGACCGCGACGAAGGACGTACGTAGAATATAGAATAAGAGAAACGGCATAAGCATCAACTTTTGGCGCTCCGCGCGGAGTCCTTGGATCTGCACTGGACCCCCCTCACTGGCGCGCGGAGCGCGCCAGGGGCAGCTCTGGAAGCGCCGCCGGGGGGGGCCCAGCGCGGATCCAAGACATCCGCGCGGAGCGCCAAACGTTCATGTTTATGGCGTTTTTCCTCCCTCGACCCACGACCACGACCATGGCCGCGACGACGATCACGACGACGACGACGACCACGACGAAGACCAAGACCGGCAATTACCATGACGACGGCCCAAGCGACACCGACGACCGCGACGAAGGACGTACGATTGAGTCGGGCGTGTCCCCCTACAGAGGGATTTTTGACGAGGAATACAGAATACAGAAAAAATGCTCCAAAGATTCCCAAAAATACTCCAGATTTCGTAATAAAGGGAGGGGGGTCTCATTCCGGGGGGGGTCTTTTCCAAGCTATCTTGGAGAGCCTGGGGGGGTCCGGGGACGATGGTTGGAGGGTTCTCCCACGGGGGAGGCCTGAAATGGCTTGTCTTGGAGGCTCCAGACCCCCTTCCTTTTATTACGAAATCTGGAGTACTAAAAAATAGTCCCCCGACTATGTTGTGACTATTTTTGGATTTTCCTCCTGTACTGCAGGTCCGTGCCGTGTCGACCCTGGCGTTGGTTCCTGACACCGCGCTGGATCGTTCAACCTTGAACGATCGGCCGTCACCGCAACGTCCGATCGTTCAACATCGACCGATTCTGGGCCGCCGTCGGCGTTCAACGTTGAATGTCGGCGGCGGGGTCGCCGCCGGTCGACACGACGCGAACCTACCGCAGAGCGGGACGGGCCCGCCTTCGACGTGCGACGGGCGGCGGTGCCCCCCGCGATCGGCCCGCCTGCTGCCGCCGGCGCGGGCGCGGGCGCGGGCTGCGGCGCTGCGGCAGCGGCCGCGGCCTGGTCCCGCTTCGCCTCGGGGCGCGGTTTGAGCAGGGAGCGGCAAAGAGGGGGGTGTCCAAGAGGGGGGGGTGCAAATCATGACTGGCGGCATGTGCGCGGCCCAGCGGGGGGGCCAGGGACGTAATGAAATAAGAGGAGGCGCCATGAAATCTGGGGAAATATCATGGCTCCCGCCATGATATCCACACCCCCCTAGTCATCACCCCCCTCTTTTCCGCCCCCGAGGTTTGAGCAGGGAGCGGCCGTCCCGGCATTCCTATCGGGTCGGGCGAACGGGGGGGATAGCAAAGGGGGGGTTTGAGAATCAACTCACGTAGCTGATTTTCCCGGCGCCTCCCGGCGCCAGAGGCGGCCATGTATCGAGGAATGGGCCCCTCGGTGAGGCCGAAACTAGCTGCATGCAGCAAATTCGGTGGTGAGAACACCCGGTGGTGAGTTTTGGGCGATTCGGGTAGTGGTTTTCGAGCGCTGGCTGGCCCAGGAAGCGCAAAACCTCGTGGCGACTGCGCGTCCCCAAGCCCGGTGGCGACCCAGAGTTATTTCTTTGAGGAAACGGGGTCACCACTGGGTGTCTCACCACCTGGTTTGGAGACCACCAAGGTTTGAGCAGGGAGCGGCCGTCCCGGCATTCCCATCGGCCTGCCACGACATTCGGGGATGGACAGAACCCCCTTCAACGAAACGTGGTTGAGTGAACACGACCTGAGGCCCAAACCTGGCGGGCGCAAGCCTGGCAAATGACGGCCGCGGCGCCTTCTCGAGATCCGAAAACGGACAATTCCGTAATCGACGTGTCAGGGTGGGGGTTCTGTCCACCCCCGAGACATGTTCCTAGAGCACAGAGATGTCCCACGAACAAAAACAAAGTGCTCTTAGAACAGGAGCCCGATGTGCCAAAACAGGACAGTCTCGGCCAGGAATGCTTCGAGAGTATGTCGCGCAGACCACAAATAGGGAAACAAAAAGTGGCATGTACATAAAAACTCGGAGGTCCGCGCGGATTTCTCGGATCGGCGCTGGGGCCCCCTGGCGGCGCCTCCGGCGCCGCCCCTGGCGCGCTCCGCGCGCCAGGGAGGGGGCCCCAGCGCCGATCCGAGAAATCCGCGCGGACCTCCGAGTTTTTATGTGCATGTCACTTTTCGTTCCCCTAAGGAATGCTTCGAGAGCACGTCGCGCAGACCACAAAAGGGTTTCAGGACATTCCTTGGTGGGCCTGTCGCCTGTAGGCGAAACAGGACTGAAGGGGCCCCAGGACACACGAATAGATACACACACAAAAAAAATGGTTCCACATATTTTCCTATATTTTCTAGGTTTTGTCTCCCCGCCCAATTATCATATTTTCCCATATGTTCCTGGGACTCGACGATTCGTTGTGTCTGTTTTTTTTCCCCTTCTGAGGTGGGCCTGTAGCCTGTAGGCGAAACAAGACGCTTCGCCACTGCTCGAGCGGTTGCGGGCGCCGCGCGGGGCCCGGCCGGCGACGAGAGCTGGGAGGCAGCTGCCGGGCACGTTTCCGCACGGAGGACTGCGGGTGACGGCCTGTGTAGAGGGGCCCAGGGACACACGAAGAAATACACACGGATGCAGGACTCTCTTTCTCTCTCTGTTTTCCCACCCACGTTTTCTGGGTTGTCCTTTTCCCCCCCACTTCCCATATCTTCCCATAGTTTCCCGGGGGTCGACGATTTGACTGTGTCTGCGCCATTTCCCCTCCTGGCTGTGGCAACTCATGGGAGCCTCCCTTTGCACCTTGCTGGCTCTTACGAATCGACGATCGCCGACGCTAGACAACGCCGATCGACCCACGTCGGCGCTACATCGACGCTACATCGACGCTAATGCGACGACAAGTCGGCGCCAAATCGGCGCTCCCTCATCAATCACCAGACGTTGTCACACGCCAGTGCACTCTAAAAACATTCTTTCGAGGACACAGAAGACTCGCATGATTTGCTACCGAACCGGGCATCCATGTACTGGGCCAATCGAGGGACCATTCAGCCAGATGAGGCTGGATTAAGCGGGGGGGTCAGCCAAATCATTCGGAAATGAAGCGGATTCTGCCGGATTGGGCCAGTCTTCGACCACGGAATGAACAGCGCTGCTGTTGAATTACACCTCCGAAGGGCTGCATCCGAACGTGAGGGATATCGGGTCCATAGGGGAGAATGGCTTCTGCCTGTTTTTGTTGCTCTATGCTCCGCGGTGGAGATCCTATGACGCTTGCTCACAACAGGAAATTCCAAAGAAGGAGCCTCTCTCGCTTGTTCGGTGCAAAAAGTGCCAGGGATGCGGCGGCCAGCGCTGTACATGCGTTGCTACCTTGAGCTGCAGCGCGCTGGAAATTGCTGCGTGAAAGGCGATGCTTCCTTGGGCGGCAAAGCCACGCAGCTACTCGAGCAGTACTTATTCCACTGGAGCGGCCAGAGTTGCACATGATCTGCTGCCTTGGGCTGCAGCTCGCTGGAACCTGATGCGTGAAGAGGGACTTGCCGCAGGCAGCTGGATATATGCGGTGCAATAAAAGTAAGAACGGCTTGCTGTTTGAGGAAAGTGCAACCGCTGTTTGGGGAAAAAGGCAAAAACCATTAGTATTTGATCCGATCTGATGCACTGCCACTGCTGAATTGCAAACCGAATGTCGCTTGTTGAATTCACCCACGCTGATCCTACCGCATATGCGAAACCGCTGCGAAGGGTGTCCGGCTCAACCGCGTCGGTAATTTATGAAATCATTCACGCAGGATCATCGCACTGCGCTGCTTGATGGGAAGAGGGTGGCGAAAGCTGTAACGACACGCCTGCCTATTCCTGTCCTCGCTGGGACGGGCAGTTTGCCTGACTGCTGCGTTGCACTGCCTGTGCCGCCTGCTTCAAGGTGAGTGCTTTCGGCAGCAACAGAAGAGACACCACCAGAACAGATTGTGCCGCCCGAGGAAGGTCCTGCCCTTTTCAGCCGCTCTCGGGCGAGGACTGACGACAGGGGGGGAAAGACCACTCCAAGGTCGGGCATGTCCTCCTATCGGCGGAGTTTGAACGAAGAAATAATTAAAAAACCTCAATATACCTAAAACAAATATCATAAGATCGTTCCCGAACTAGTTTTTGATTATTTACAATATTCCTCCTGTACAGGGACAGGCCCGACTGAAGACCGGCCTCGGGGAGGAGCACCGAGCTGGAGATCGCCGACAGATCGGCGATCGACCCCGGGTAGCGAATCCGCACGCTTCTGGGCGGGCGGGCCCATCGGGACACCACCAGCGATCCATGGGCGATTGGGGTCAGCACGTCCCCTCCTGAACCTATCCCCCCCGACGTTGCCCCAATTAGTTGTTTTGTTGTTTTGTTTCCCTGTTTGTAGGTTGTTTTTTTCTTTCAGGGGGGAAACGCTTAAGCGAAAGTACATTTACCCGCAGGCAGGATCACACGGTTGCAGGCATGAAATGGAAGCAGGCCGCGACTGGCAGGAACCCGTTTTTTTTTCCGGGCCGATCACGCGCGTGATCGGGTGCGGGGTCCGTCGCGCCGATCACGCCACGGCGGGGGTGCGCTTGCGGCATTGCAACATGACCGTGAGCACCGCAGTGCGACTGCGAAAAACAATCGCCTGCGACCTGACAGTCTCGACGTGCCTGCGACCAACGCCACACATGCTTGCGATCCGATCAACGCGGCGTGCCTGTGAAAACCACAATGCTTTAAAACAGCACGACGTCCGTGAACACCACAACGCCTGTGAACATCAAAGAGCCTGAGAACACAGCGCCCGCGACCGCCACAACACCTGCAAATCCACATCGCCTGCGCACACTACACAGCCCATGCAAACACCACGACCCCTGTGAACGCAGCGCGCGCGAGCACCGCCGAGCCTGGGGTCCGGCGGCGGTGCGCAAACACTAGCAGTGGCAGTGTCAGTAGCAATAGACGTAGTAGACGTAGTAGACGTAGTAGACGTAGTAGTAGTAGTAGTAGTAGTAGTCGTAGTCGTAGTAGTAGCACTAGTAGTAGTAGTAGTAGTAGTAGTAGTAGTAGTAGTAGTAGTAGTAGTAGTAGTAGTAGTGGTAGTAGTAGTAGTAGTAGTAGTGTAGTAGTAGTAGTAGTAGCGATAGTAGTAGTAGTAGTAGTAGTCGTAGTAGTAGTCGTAGTCGTAGTCGTTGTCGTAGTAGTAGTAGTAGTAGTAGAGTAGTAGCAGCAGTAGTAGCAGTAGTAGCACTAGTAGCAGTAGTAACAGTAGTAGCAGTAGTAGCAGTAGTAGTAGTAGTAGCAATCGTAGTAGTAGTTGTAGTAGTAGAAGTAGTAGTAGTAGTAGTAGTGGTCGTAGTAGTAGTAGTAGTACTCGTACTAGTAGTAGTCGTAGAAGTAGTAGTAGTCGTAGTAGTAGTAGTAGTACTAGTAGTACAAGTAGTAGTAGTAGTAGTAGTAGTAGTAAGAGTAGTAGTAGTAGTAGTAGTAGTAGTCGTACTAGTAGGAGTAGTGGTATTATTATTATTATTATTATTAGTAGTAGTAGTAATAGTAGTAGTAGTGGCAGTAGTAGTAGAAGTAGTAGTAGTAGTAGTAGTAATAGTAGTAAGAGTAGTAGAAGTAGTAGTAGAAGTAGTAGTAGAAGTAGTAGTAGTAGTAGTAGTAGTAGTGGTAGTAGTACTAGTTTATAGTAGTAGTAGTAGTAGTAACAGTAGTAGCAGCAGCGATACCAGTCGCAGTAGCAGTGGTAGCAGTAGTACTGGTAGTAGTAGTGGTGGTTGTACTACTAGTAGTAGTAGCGGTAGTCGTAATCATGAAAGAAAAACAAAGATAGTAGTAGCAACAGTAGCAGCAATAGTAGTGGTACTAGTACTAGTAAGTCGTAATATAAATACCAGCAACAGTAGTAGTAGTAGTAGTTGTTGTAGTAGTAGTAGTAGTAGAAGTAGTAGTAGTAGTAGTAGTAGTAGTAGTGGTAGTAGTAATAGTCATAGTAGTAGTAGCAGTAGTAGTAGTAGTAGTAGTAGTAGTAGTATGAC